GGGGGGGGGGGGGCGAGAGGGTGGCATGCTCGGGGGGGGGGGTATTGCGTTGGGGGGGCGGGGGGGAGGGAGATCCTAGGCAATGATGAATTCGTTTCTTAGCGTTGAGCAGAGTATGGAATACCGTGTGCGTCGTTCTTCTCTGGCTCGTGTGCTATGCCATGCCATGTCTAGGTTTCCTTTCCCGTAGGTCATGGCTTTGGCGGAGCTCGGGGGCGTAGGGGGAGAAGGAGGGGGAGTGAGGCGGTGAGAGGTCAAGCTCGGAATGGACGTCGAAGTCACGAATGAATGCTGTGCAGGTTTTCGACGTGTACACTATAATCCTGCAATTAGACTAAACGCAGTGCGCACTACACGTACGTCGATATCAAGCGTGTTCGGAAGGGAAAATTGTAGCGCACTAGGAGCAGCTATTGGCGATATTCCCCTGCGTCAAGTCTGAAAAACAGCGAATTACGGGGGGCGCGGTCGGACATTGCTACGCAGTGTACAGCAGGGCAAGGAAGCCCGACATCTATCAAGCGAGGTGGCGTTGTTGTCGCGACGAAGCTGGTGTTAAAGTCAGGTTTTCGTCTCTCCGCCAGCTGTCTGTGTGACAAGACAGATAGACAGACTGGCGGAGAATGCACTTGTTTTCGATCTTCGAAGCATCATTTGAATGGTCAGATATTTAAGAAACGCCTGTTTCCGGAGCGTCATCAGCTTGTCTTCATTTTTTTTTTTTCCGGTGGGCTCTTGTGGCATGGAGCTGTAAAGCTGCTGTGAGTGCACTCGGGTTGTTTCGTGCGGTTTATTTATCCTGTGAGCTTGTGGACTTCGGTCCTAGAGCCCTGCAGATGTCCGCTGAACGCCGGCAATACCTTCTCTGGTCTAAACATCATTTGTACAAGAACCAAGGAAATTACAAGCGAACATTTGCTTGCGCGTTGGGAGCGTGCAAACGCCAGTTGGCACAGTCCCGTACAAGCATCCTCTAGTTAAGTTCAATGTACCCCCCCAGTAAGAGGAGAAGAAGATGGAGCAGACAGAGTGCGGCACAACGTAAGAGGTGGTGTGTGCACCATAAACATGCAAACTCGACTATGATGTTACCTCGAAGTGGATTATATCGCTGATGTATTTCCCGCTGTGCGGTGGATGTTGTCCACAACCATTTGAAGAACCTAAATCACGCGCAGGGCAGATGCATCCTTCGATGTGGCCGCGCCGCATGGTACCTCCCGAGAGAACACACGTCTTGTATCTTCACTCGGGGTCACGCAGAAGGAAGGAAAGGAAAAACGTTTGCATCTCTGTGCTTTCACCTTTCTTTCTTTCCCCCCCAAATTCCGTGCTTGCTTCAATTTTCAACGCCGTGCGAGGTTTGCATTGTGCTGCGCTTTAAATACTTGTCTTGCAAAACTGTCCGAAGTCACCGCTGGAAGCGGATCGAACCCCAGTGGGTCTACGACAAATTGGTTAAGGGACAAGGTTTACTGTGCTACAATGAGTGCCAAAGTTGTGTTGTATTCCCACCCTTCATGACCTGTCTTTGCCGATTGCTCGCAGGAACCCTCCAGAAAACATCAAGCTTCCCTCTCGGCAAATAATGCTTTTACGTGTGCGTGCGTCCGTACATGTTTTCCAATACGCGTGCTCCCCCTTTCTCAACAACCAATTCTAGCACAGAACAGGCTGCCGCAGAGGCAAACGCCTCCTCTAGCCTACCCCCCCCCCTCCCATTCCCCGTCACAACCCTCTATTGTACGGATCACGCAGGAGAAGAGTCCACCGACGAGAACCACAAAAGACAAATCCACAACGCGAATCTTTTCGGCCTTCATTCATTCATTCACACGTCCCCAAAAGGAGGCGAATGACAAGCCTCATCCACCCCCCCCCCCCAAAAAAAAAAAAAAAATCCCCGTTACCCCAAATAAAAAACGCGCCCCCCCTTAGGAACCCAAAAGTTAAAAAAAAGGGCCCAAAAAAAAACGAAATTTAAAAACTTGGGCCCCATTTTGGGAGCCCGGGTAAAAACCCCCACACTAAAACCTATATATAGCGACCATTCGTGGCATGACCCCGGAATACAGTAAGAACCCCAGCCTCGGTCGAGAGTAAAACATAGGTTCTTGAGTGCGGGCGATTTCTGTATTGGCCGAGAAATCGCACGGTGAGTGGAAACTGCTTCTTCTCCCCTCGTTGCCGATTGAAAAGAAACCCACGCACTGCCTAGGCATACATACGGGAATAAAAGACGTCGGGCTGGCCCCCAATCGGAGCAAGCGACCCTCACAAACCATAACAGACAGCGAACTCAATTTCCTGGAGTCTCCACATTGGTTGGTCAACTTCAAATGTAGCTAGAATCTGATTGGCCGAAATTCCGTGATCAATAGAACAAACAATTGCGGGCACTTGGCCGATCTACCCAGGGCTTCAAGGTGGCACCCTACCCAGTTCTTGAGGTATCACCCCCAACTTCCCGCGTGTGTGGGCAAGAAAAAAAAATCCTAATGTCATCGCCGATGTGGAAAAGTGGCCAAAACAAAAGATCTAAAAGTATTTATATGTCGTCCATCCCGCGGTAAACGCGTGTGACAATTCCGCGCCGAACAGTAAAAACAAAACACACACAAAATCTCTCCCGCCTGGCGTGGCAGCAGCACACACCCGACGTTACCGACACCAACAAAAGCTCCAAGCTTTCAGTGTAGATCTTCCCCGGTCCATTCCCCTGCTGAAGCCTGTGCTCTTGTCAGGGTGAGGTGTCCGCGACCCTCTCTCCCTGCTGAAGCCTGTCCTCTGTCAGGGTAAGGCGCTGCTCGAGGACCCCGACGGTCCTCGTCAACATGTCGAGCTGACCCACGATGTGGTCCAGTGTTCCCGCCAACGCTTCCGGCAGGGCCCCCCGGTCCACCTCCAAGCTCCTCCGCGGAGCCCCCCCCCCGCCACCACCAGTACCACACACCCCGCCTCCCTCCAGCAGACCTCTCCCGGGCGCACCTCTCACCGCCGCTGCTGCCCCTCCCCTTCGGCCATGCGCGGGGCCTCCAAGCGCTGCTTCGCCCAAGCCAAACATATCCCCTCCGCTGAATTTTGTTGCTGCTGCTCCGCTTCTGAACGAGCCAGGGGCCGAGATAGCGCCGGCCGCTTCGGGCGCCGCCCCCACCGCCGGCGCCGGCGCCGTCCAATCCCTCCAGACGGCGCCGCCGCCGCGATAGTCGTCCTCGCCAGCGCTAAGCCAATCGGCCGCCGCCGTTCTTATCGCCGGAGCGGCGGCGAGCGCCGCCGCCCCCGCCGCCGCCGTTGCCGACAAAGGACGTTCGCTCTGGCGCCCGCCCAGCAGCTCATACGAGTCCCGTTCTTTCGCAGCAGCGCCAACCGGGGCCGGGCCCCCAACACCATCATCGGCCACCCCGTCCTCCTCGAGGTCCTCCACGCCGAAGGAGTGCTGCTGCTGTCGCTGTCGCTGTCGCTGCCTCTGCCGTTGCTGAGGAGATGACGGTGGCGGCGGCAGCGGCGGCGGCTGCTGCTTCCCCGCCCCTTCGTACTCTCCCCGGGCGGCCCACCGCCGGCTAGCGGCTGCCGCCGCATCGGCAGCTGCGGCGGAAGAGCGTCCCGCGTGATCGCGCGCGTCGTAGGGATTCCGCGACGACGACGACGGTCTGAGGGACCCGCTCGCTGGACGAGGGTACGGGACGCCGCTGCTACCGCTACAGCTACCGCCCCCCCCCCCACCCGCTTCTCCTACCGCGGGGTATGCCGTCGCCGTTTCCAGGCGTCGCCTTCCCCCCGACACGGGCCGCCGCTCGCCCCCGCCGACTCCGCTGCCTGCGGGCCTGCCGGGAGTGGAAACCCTGTAGGCGTGTGCGTGCATGAGCGTGTGACCCGAAAATACAGCGTGAATGAATGGACGAAAGGAGGGGGGGCGGCTTTTGACCCGCGGTTCTTCGGCCGGGGCGGTAACAGGCACTTGAGCATTCGGCGGTGGCCCTCTCTCCATCTATCACTGACCGGCTATCACTACGTGTGTCGCCAGCCTGTCACAGGAGCCAAGTATTAACTCCACAACCGCCGTTTCGGTTGATTTTTCGCGAACATGCACGTCGCAAAAATGAATAACATAAAACATGGAAAAAAATGACATAGGGACGACTCGCCCCCCTTCAATTATACGATTCTACTACTCGAAGCATAAGACTAAAACCAAGAAATGGCATGTTACCTTGCGTTTGTCGTCCGGGTGCCGAGAGCCGTCCGCGGCTGCCCACCCCCCGAACCGGCCAACCCCCCCCGCCTAGCAACGCCCTTCACCGCCGCCGCATCATCACCATCCTCCTCCTCCTCCCCCACCAAAATCGCTCCCTCCTCGAAGCCCGTCGGGGCTCTAACGCTGCCGCCACCGCCGCCGCCGCCGCCGCCGCCGCCGCCGCCGACGGAGGCAAGGCGATTGTCTAGGTGACTCCTCCAGGACATGACGAGCCCGTCTTCCCCACCGGAGGCGAAACGGGCGCCGTCCGTGCTGAAGGCGCAGGCGGTGACGGGGCCGGAGTGGCCCTTGAGGGTGTACACCAGCCGGCCTTCACGCAGGTCCCATATCTGTTCACCAAGACCGGGGGGGGGGAGGCGGACTCATTTTTTTTTGTATGCCTTAGCGGTTAGACCACTGACCACGTGCCCTCGAGAGGACGGAGCATCGAACCGATAGGGGTGGGTTCTCAAATCATGACGGCTGCTGCTCCCCTGCTGATATATCTAGCAAAAGATGGGCGGGTGGGTGCGTTCTGTTTTCCCGGAGGGCGCGTGTGTGCGCGATGATTGAAGCACAGAAAAGAGACGGGGGGTTCGATACAGCACCCGAAAAAAAAAACATAGCCGACACGTGCGCATGTCGCATCGGGAAAAATGTAATGCCTGATGTTCAGGCTTCTTCTCGAACGCCGAAACCAGGTGAACGTTGGTAGGATCTCTATTTAGCCTTATCAGGACTGCGCGAGACCACGTGTGCACGCTTCGCTCGACGAAACGAAAGCCAAATCACCTTGAGAATGCAACGGGACAAAGAGGACTCGACCGCGCCACCGTAGGCCAATCGGAAAAAGCAGCTCATTCGTGAAGCAAGAGGCTCGGGGTTCGACACGGGAAGCAAGAGGCCGCTACAAAGAGCGTGCAGAGCAGACGGTACGCGGTAGGCAACCTACAGGGACACCGTGCCGAACGACCAAACACAGGCGCAGCCGCACGACTACCGTAGCCCAAAAGACATGGTAAGAAGTACCGGTAGGCGTTTCGTCGTGAACCGCAAAGCGATCCTACCGTGATGAGAACAGCAGCAGCGGGACATTATGCATAGAACACAACATATCCGGTGGCAGCATCAGCAGCAGCAGGTGCAGCAGCAGCAACAGCAACAACAGCAGCGTCAACCGGTCACCTTAAGGCTGGCGTCGGTAGAAGACGAGAGGAGGAAGTTGCCCGACTCGTGGAAGCTGATCGACGTCACATCCCCGTCGTGGGCAGGGTAGTGCTGAAGCAGCTGGTGGGAACGTGCGTCCCACACCTAGCATACAAACAGCGGCGGCAGAGGAATCGTGGACGGCGTCCCAGTGGGAGGGGACAGCAACAAAAACGATAAGGACTATTTTACAGGCACCGAAGAATAACGAAATGGTATAACAGTATCACGGCAATTTGCGCCCCCCCCTTTCCCAACAACAGAGCGCTACGAATGTTCCCCCCCGCCGTCTCTAGAAAAATAGACAACCATACCCAAAACAGCGGAGAACAGAAAAAAAAGCATTCCCTCACTTCCCTCCCGCTTCATCCATTGGCGAAAAGGGCATACAATACGCCGTGATCTATACCTTCAAGTCCAACAAAAAAAGTCAGATCTTCATCACAAAAAAAAACAACCGTCAACAATGCCAAGATACCAGGACGAAATATACCTTGATGGTGCGGTCCGCGGAGCACGCGGCCACGCACGTGCCGTCCGGGTGGAAGCGCGCCTGCCTCACGGGGCCGTCGTGGTCGAAGAAGGTTCGGAGGCAGTCCTGGGTCTGCACGTCCCACAACCGCACCGCCTTGTCGTCCCCGCAGGAGGTCGCCAGCCGGGAGTCGGGGCTGACGGGTACACGGAACGGAACGGTAAGTACGGCACGGTTCGTTCCCCACGAACGTTGTGCGGCAGACGAAACGGAAAGGGAGGTACGGCACGGTTCGTGCCCCACGAACATTTTTCGGCAGACGGAAATGCAACGGTAAGTACGGTACGGTTCGTGTCCCACGAACAGCGCGCGACGGACACGAGGTATAACCGTGACTCACACGCGGTAGCACGGATGTGGTGCGGTTTGACACGGCGGTACAACCACGCGGTTATTTTGTACCATAAATTACTTGCTGTACGGTATGGAATCATGCAACACGCGGTTGTGACGCGGACAACCATGGCACGGCGGCAGAGGGTCAACCCTCCGGGTCATTGTTTGACATGCCAAAAGACAACAAGAGGTGACGTAAATGTGAGGGACACAGGTTGGCGGGTTTTCCTTGGACCGACGACTGAAGGATGGTACAAACGTGCACGTGTACACGCATTCCATGCCACATTTAGCCGTCGTCATTAGTCCTGCGCGCACCCACCTGAACGTCGCACAACGGACCCAATTGTTGTGGCCGTTCAGGGTGCAGACGAATCTCTGTGAGGGCAGCGACCAAATCTGAACAGGGAGGAAGAGGGAGAGAGGGAGAGAGACTTATGAGCGCAGAATGCGTAGGAGCATCAAGACGAGAAAGAACGCAATGCCTGCCCAAAGAAGTTCCACAACATAGCATCCGATCGTTCGCCTCTCGTTCTTTTCCTTCGAAATGTTTATCGACACCAACATTACACAAACAACTACCACTGCAAACTAAGCAGCAGTGTATACGAACTGCTGTATCGTATACACACTTAACGACAAAACAATCCAAGCACAACGAAATACCACCATAACGACAAAAGCTTTCCACCCTCCTCTGCTCTCTCTTCCTCTCTCTCTCTCTCTCTGCTTCTGTCTCTCTCGCCCTCTCTCTCTCTCCCCCCTACGTCTCTTTCCTCCGTCTCTCTCTGATTGTGTGTGTGTATGTCTCTCTCTCTCTCTCTCTCTCTCTCTCGCCCTCTCTCCCTCTCTCTCTCCCCCCTCCCCCTCCCCCCCCTCTGTCCATCCATCTCTCTTGCCTTGACTGTCTTGTCCTCGGAGGCGGTGATCAGCAGCCGCCCGTTCCTCGAGAACGACGCGTGCCGCACCCCGCCCATGTGCCCCTTGAGCACGCTCGACCCCCCCCTAGCCGAGGGCGTCCACAGCCTCACGGTCCTGTCCTTCGACGCCGAGGCGACTAGCGAACCGTTCGGCGAGAACTCGGCGTGGTGCACGGTAGCGGAGTGTCCCTTGAGCCTGAGGGCCTTTTGGGGGTGGCGTGGATGGTGCACATGAGGTGGATCAAATTCAGGTCACCCTGCAGATAAGCTCGGGATGCGCAACTCTGCTTGTGTGACTCTAACGCCCCGTGGAGAACATTGTTCAAAGCACAACGGGCTGTGCCGAATGTTGTTCGAAGCACAACGGGAGGGAATCGCAGGAGGGTGATATATACATACAAGCATAGTACGACCGGCAATGAAAAAACTTTTACCGCTACATACTGCTGTGTTCGATTTACCACCCATTCCTCTGTTACCCCCTTCTCGTCAACATGGGGAGCCAAGTGAGCTAAACATTTGCGGACGATACCGCGCCCTCCCTAACCTCCCCCGCCTACAGGTAAAGTACTTCGGAGAAGCGTCGGGGATGCAGGAGAGGCATGACCACGAAAGTATCACCCGAAGGGTCTTGGGGAACGAGTCCGGCTATTCGAGCAGTGTAGGAAAAGTGCTCGATCTCGCATCATGTGTGGTCAGACGACTACCACAAAGCAACGGGAATGAGCCCGCTCCTCGCCGTCCTCTCGAGGACGGGTGGGCAACGGCAAAAAAAAGTAAGGCGTGCAAAACGTGAGCACGTCCCCCCATGGAAATGACGACCAGCTTCTGGTGCATTATTGTGAAACGTAGCCTGGGCCGGCGAAAACCCGGCGTATCGCTCCATCCCGGCATTGTAGGGATGCGAGGTCAGTGGTCTAAGAAACTAAGGCATGCAAAACCATGAATACACCCCCGCCCAGACCTCCCGCCTCCTGGGTCAAAACCACAACCCTTACCCGCAGCTGGGCCCGGAACGTCCAGACCATGAGGTTGTTGTCGGTCGCCGAAGACACGAGCTGTTTCATGTCGGGAGAGTACGACACGCCCGTCACCGCCGCCCCGCGACCTCGAAAAGTCCGCTCTAGCTCCGGATCCACCGGGAAGATGGAGGCGGCAGCGGCGGCGGCGGGGGGGGGCGCGCGCAGACCGCCGTGCTTGGCGGCGGCGGTGGTGCTCCGGCTGGTGCTCGCCGTGGATAGCTGGGGTGAGCTACCTGTTGCGTGTTTCGTGGGGGTCGTTCTGAGTGTTGGAGGAGTCGGCGTTTCTGCTGCGTGTTTTGCCCCACATTTGTTCCTCGTTTTCGTCAGTTGTTGGTGTTTTTTGTGCCTTTCCGTTTCGTCCTGGAGTGACAGGTACCGTAGGTTGCGTAAGATATCACACCCCCTCGGGGCCAATTTTCAAAGCTTGGTTACTCGGGTGGAAAAGCAGCGACGGTGCCGGAAATGGCGGAGTTCGAACCGTCCCGTCGAGAGCTTTCCGAACACGCATCGACTGCCTTCGGCCTTCGGCATCCGTGGAACAATCGAGCTTTGAAAATCAGTCCAGGGGGGAGTGGTACCTTATGCAACCTGCGGTAAAAGGTACAGGGCGTACTTGTACGTGTATCAGTGGGGGGGGGGGGAGGGGGGGTGTCGCCGCAGCAGTGGTTGTTTTGAATGTATATGCACCTATTCTTCGTGTGACTACATGGACAAAGATCCAGCGGGTCACCTCGACGCACGCCTGGCCCTTTATTGCCTTTAAGGAGAGGTGTATTTGTACAAAGCTCTCGTTCGGGAACTACTGTAGACTAAATTTAGGACATGACAAACATTGGCAACACTGTACAATACACAGCGGACGCACGAAGCGATTCTCGAGTCACCGGCATCGGTGAGGCTCTCTATTCCGTGCGCATTGAGAATAATAATGAGACAAAAAACCTACCAAGTACATACACCACCCTCTCCCCCCAAACTCGGCGGTAGACTGCGCACAGGTATGAAAATACCGCAGGTGACACGGGAAAAGATGTACTGGTATCAAACACCCCCCAGACCGATTTTCAAAGCCCGATTACTCCACACCAGAAAGAGCGGCAGTGCCGCCGAAAATGGCGGCGTTGAAACCGCTTCGTCGAGGGGTTTCCGAAAACGTGTCATGTGACTACAGGGATCATCTTGGTCGTGGAAGTGCAGAGTTGACCTTCGACAACACGTCCGGGGGGGGGGGGTGGTATCTTATGTCACATGCGGCGGTACATGCCTACCGCTGACCATCGGTGTTGCCGTGGAAATGGCGGATCTCACTACACACAGCTCAATTTGCCCCTTGCTACAGTACTTGCTATGTACAAATTGCCGCCGCTGCCGTCCAAACAGCGCATCGAGCGCCGCATGGGTGCGAAGCGCAAAAGTAAGATAACTGCCACACGGGCAGACCAAATTCCCAAACCGCCACACTTCCAACATTTGAACAGAGACCGAGAAATCCATCCACTGGGGTGAACTGCTGTCAACACCACACACAGCAAAAGCACCAAATCAAAGCACGCTAAGGATCGCGCGTCACTCTGCAACACAAGCAACAATGCAGCACAAGCACCGAAGGAGCGGGCCGCTCTGCTGTACCTAACCCGTTGCGACGATGCTAGAGTGCCTGCTGCCACAACACAACTCACGATCCGTCCGCATGGTTTGGTCCAGCCCAGAGAATCGTCGATGGCCGCTCCTGGCCAGCCGACTACTGCTACTCCCGCCTCCGAAATTCATCGATCGAGAAGTCATGGCCGCCCTTGCCTTGTGCTTAGCTCACGCTGCACGCGAGAGATGGGTAGGGCTCTGGCTTCTGGGGGGATGGACAACAAAGAAGTGGGGGGACCCACGGTCAGTATAGCTGGGGGATGTACGGTACGTCGCCTGTCTGACCGTCTGACCGTTGCCCTTTTGCTGCCACTGCTGTCCACGACTCTACAACAGCTTCGAATTGCTTGTGTGTTAGGGGACTGCCCCCCCCCCCCCCCCGTTAAGCCTTGCAACGCTGTCGCACGACCGGCAGGGACAGCCCAGGCTCCGCACCCTCCTCTACTGTACATACTTTGATTACACGGCGCGGTAGTGTAGATTAACATCAGTCGTTTTGGTGCAGACCAAAAGGTCTATAGACATCATGCTGCTGTAGAATACATCATCTCTTTCCGCTCCTCCTCCTCCTGTCTGATCGTGGCCGGCATTTGCTTGTCCAAACACACGCGTGTTAAACCGAAAAGCTGTTGGGGCGTGTGTGTGTATAGCATGCATGCATAGCATGATCAGCAACGACCCGATCACCAAGCAAACCGGGCGGCGTACTACTCTCGACACGATAATATCAACATCACGATCATCATGGGGCGGAAGATCCGGAAGATCCAGTGGAATATGCGAATATACTCGAATCGATTTTTGCCACACACACCACACCCACTACTACATTCTTGATGCCCCCACGCCCATAGGTGTAGGGGGGCGGTGGTCGGTTTGGCGCCACTCCGCCATCAACATCACCTCTCTTGCCTTCGGAAAAAATGCAATCACTGGGCGAGCCCTTCGGAGGAGGAACTGCTAGCAAGAAGAAGGTCATCAACAACAGCAGCGGCAACAGGAGGAAGAGTGGTTCGTGTTATGTCAACAATAAAGCGGCAAAAATTGTTGATCCGATGGACGTAATTCAAGGTCTTTTTTTCACGCCCGAAAGCAGCAGCAGCACCACCAAGCGGCCGGGCACCGCCAGACAACTAGGTCCAGCGACGACGACGAGCGGTGGGAGGGTGTCATCATCGTTAGCCGCCACCACCGCCACCATGGAAGGCGTCAGCCCTTCCGGCGACTCCCTCAGCAGCAGGGGATCCAGGGTGGGCGCCGAAGCGTTCATGCGCTCGGAGGTGGTGCTCGATGAGGTGCTGGAGGAGCAGCAGCAAGATAATACATACATCATCAGCAGGGATAATGATGATGATGATGACAGCAGCCGGCAGCAGCAGCAACAACAACAAGGTGGCGGTAGTAGCGCCATCAACCGGGGGGGAATTGCCACCGTGAACAACATGGGCCCCGTGGACCGCCTCCTGCTTCTCGTGGACGAAGCGCAGTCGCTCTCGAAGCGGGTGCTCGGCAACGAGCGGCAGTCGGCGAGGCTCGGGGACAGGCTTTCCGCGCTCAAGAATCCCCTGTGGCAGCTGCAGGCGAGGGTGAGGACCCAGGCCGTGCGACCGCCGGGCTTCGTCCACGACCTGACCGAGCAGGTGCAGCTGTGCCTCTCGACGCTGCTTGAGCTTGCGCACCCGGACTGGTGGAATCAGATTCGACGCAAGGTGCGTGCGTGCCAGGACGATAAGAGTAGCGAGCCGGTCGGCGCTTTTCAACGTCTCTGCTGCTGTGATCTTGGTTTTCTGCTGCTTGGTGTCAAGAGCTGGCGGCTCTACATGTTGATTTTGGTTGCATGTGGGTATCCGTGTGATGCCGCCAACATCGCCCAAATCGCGCGGCACATACGAGACGTTGTGGTCTGAAGTGGCAGCCCTTCCTCCCTGCCGCACACACATTATACAATGAACCACACCGCCGACCGCGGCAGCACCGGTAGGCTACATAGTTTCGGATCCGAAAGTTATTTGCCACATTATGGTCTATCTGGTATACACCCCGCATCCCTAGCCTGCTGCTGTGGCCGCATTAAAGAGTGCAATGGCAGATAGCGGCTGCTGCGAACTGCTTGCTGATACTGTAAAGCTCTTCGTCCGGCCAAGTTGTTTGTTCCACAGCTAGCTGAATGTACGTGGTCGTAATCCCTTTACTATGCTATGTGTGATACATAGCATAGACTACATACGTACCTTGCGGCAGGTACTCCCTCCTTTCGCAAGCAAGCTACATACAGCAGTCGCTAGATTACCAACAGCAGCAGGAATGGTGATACTCAACTTGAGGAAAGGGACGGAGAAAAAAAAAGTCGAGATTGCGTGATTGCTCTCGCTTGTTGTGCGGCCGGGAGGGCACGCACGCGAGGGGGGGGTGTTTTGTTGTGTGATTACCTCCCTCGTTCGGAAAAATAGCGAGAGGCCACAGGCCCGTGGTGGCCACCCGCTCAAAGCTATATACCAACGGCGACGGTGGTATCGGCACACTCTAAATAAACTGATCGATCATCATCGCGGGTGATGATGTTTGTCCTGGTAGTATGCATATGAGACGTAAAGAGCAGACGAGAAGGAGACTCACTACAAGTATCTCTTGGCGGGCTGGGGTGGGAGTGATGAAACGTCCTGCTACGCGTACCTACTCCGGGCTATAAGTATACGACGACTATTTAAACTGCACGAATGGTGTATCTTCTTCTGTTCTTCCTAGAATATGGTCGGTGGACGCCGCCCGCCGTCGCAAGTCTTGTCTGAATTGCTCTATGTACGCTCGGCGATAATATTGTCTTGCTTGCTCTCAAGTCTACGATGTAGTAACTTGGTGATACGAAAGGGTATCATCACGGCTGTGCATGCTTATTTTTCGTTTGTATGTACGTAAACTACAGCAGTACATGCATACGACAACAACATGGACGTCACGTGTGAAGATGTACCCGTGTCCTGGCGCGCTTGAATGCCAAATCGATTGCCTCCAAAACTAAGCCACGGTGGACTCAATGACGCAATGACTACAAAATACACCGACGACCGGGCGCTGCTGCTGTAGAAGCGAGTAGGGCGGCCGAGGCAGCACTTGTGGCGAACTATGTACCCGGCTGATGTTGTTGCACCCTGTTCCCCTCCCTGCTGTATGCTATACTCCTGTATGTCCTTTGTATTGCCTTCGGCCTCAGTGCTGTGCTTCTTTTTTCATGCCTGCCTACTCTGCCTTGTTGGGTACCTTGATCTCCCTTTTGCTGTTGCTTTTGCTTTTATATAGATGGCTGTCTGCCCATCTGCCGCTCTTTGTTCTGTTGCCTCCATTACTCTCATGCCCTGGTGCGTAGTGCCTGATGCTGGTACGGTACCCTTTGATTTTTTTAGGCGGGTGTGGGAAGCGTCCTCCTTTTTCCCTTTTTATTTTTGCCTTTATTTTGTTTTGTTTTATTTTGATCGGTTTCCTAGGGCTCCTTTTCTCGACCGGTCGGTGCGGTAGCTGTTCTTTTCTTTCTGTCATTTTGTTTTCTTTTTCCGAGTGGTTTGTACTCTAATACTCTTGTTTTGTTTCTCCGCGGCGTCGTATGTGCCGGGTTTTGCGACCACGAGCTCCCCATTTTTGTGGACTATTAGAGCTAATGTGAGAGAAACAAACAAAACAAAAAAAAACAGCACCTTACAGCACCTTGGTTACAGCCTTTCCCAATAAGCGGACGCGATTTTTTCTGGACCCAGTACCTGTAACTAACTGGGGGACTAGAAGGGTTAAGCTTCAACACCTCCTCATGTTGAAACCTGGGGGGGCATCCGAAGCGTACATATCACTTGAAAACATGTACATTTTCTAGACAACCTACATACGCAGTATTAAAAAAAGCTACATGTACTATAATTCTGCGATCCAGTAGTGAAAGCGTTAGAGAATGCAATCACAGAAAGACTGCCTGCCCGTTCGAGACATAGGCAAAACAGGCAGCAGTAGAAGGTAATGGCAGCATTTTCTTCAAAAAAATTGTTCTTCGTCTCGAAAGCACATACATGCGAACGGTACATACATACATTGAATGCCAATAGCTAATCCGATGCATATACTTCTATGCATATCTCCTATGTAACAACTATTATAGTCCGAAACCGACCCTACCACTTGTATGTATCTGTTTGCGACGACGACGGCCAACAACAAAACAGCACGACGCGCTCTTGTTTCGGGAGCTGAACGAGAGGCTCGTAGCCGCCGTGAGGGGGGACCGCGAGTTCGAGGCCGCGCTTGCGTTCCCGAGGGCCGCGGACGAGGACAGGGCCGACCGCATCGTCGACTTCGAGCACCTTCAGGTCTGTCTGTTGTATGTGCACCGCCGTAGCATAGCAAGGACACTTCTGTTTTTGGCAATCTGCATGAAAACACAGAATACATCCCGTTCGAGATGTAACCACACCAGTCGAAAAGGATGTGCTCGAGTCGTGTTCAGTGAGTAGACTTTACGGCCCCTTTCTCGGATCGATTTTTCTCAAGGCTCGATCGATTCCTCTGCAGCGAGAAAAAACAGCCACTGCTTTGTCGGAATGACGGCGTTGGAAGCGCCAGGTCAAAGTTCCGAATGCGTTTAATTTAATGTTGGCATCCTCTCCGTCGTGGAGTACTTGATTATGAAACAAACCTTTTAAGAAACAAAGGCTCAACTTTTGACGATAACGTGATAAAATTCGACTAATGAGAAACTCAACTATTGGCGATAACTTGAGAAGATTCGACCAAGAAACTCTCCCTTCAGCCGTGGATCCTACACTAAAACCTATATAATATGTAAAATGACCCATGCTCGACGGTGGTGACGAAATAAGAAATCGAGCCTCGACCCCAAACTGATGTTTCTAAAACGCTGGCGCTACATACCTAACGGTATGCAGAGGTTGCTGGAGATGCACGCGGACAGGCTGGAGGACCGGGTGGAGGAGAGGGAGGAGCTGTGGAAGGCGATCGAGGGGCTAAGGCTGGCCGAGCCCTCAGACATCACCGGCTTCACCGAGATCGAC